AATCGCATTAGTTTACAATAACAGAATCACAGATTACGGCAATTCAACACAAACTTGGATATCACAAATTTCGTTCAATGTGATGTACGGAAAGCTCAATTTAAACATCGGCTTCATTCGAGAAAACAACATTCAATTCATTCCTCAATGTAATCATCTCCTAGTTACGAATTTTTGATCAATTCATGAAAGTAGAAAATTTCTCGACTGGAGATTATATTCGGTTAAAAAAATAGAACTTTTCCATTTTTGTGGTGAATACATGTGACTTGACGCCAAGGACTGTTTCATTTGACTCAAGTAAATGTATCTCAAAAAGAAATAATTGACATTCACCGTAAGATCTTACTTATTTGAAATTGGTTCAAGTATATAATACTTGTTCAAGAAAGAAACATCTCAATAAATTTTTTCCTATCAGTGCAGTACTTAATCTCAATCATCAAAGGTACTTGAAACTGTAACGGAAAAATCCTCTGTCCGAGTATTACCGAGAGGTATCAGCGTCCATTTCCTGGTAGGAGTTTCCGTCCAAAAAAAGACCAGAGACTTTGACTGAAAGACCGAAAGCTACTTGAGCTCGTTACGGTACTTTCTATTCTTTTTCATTCTCGTTTGAATCGGCTTAGGTCGTAAGCGTCTCCAACTCTTTTCTCCCGGACACTTTCCGAGTCTCTTTTAATATCTTCATTAAAAAGAGGAGTATTTTTGCAATGAGAGCCATCAACCTGAACTTTTCTGTTAAAGAACATTTCAACGCTCTCGTCTTACAGGCGAAGTTCCACGATTCGAGTTGCATGACATAATTAACGCTAGATGTTATGATAAAACATTGTCAGTTGCCTGTAGAAGGCAACATGGTTTCTCCAAAGTGGACGATCGGATGGAGATAGCAAAAAATATAATATCCGTACCTGGGCTCAGGGCGTCACACTGTCCGCAAATATTTGTCCAGTCTTTCCCTTATCTTAGTAGAGCTTACTATCACATATGTCCTTTCTCTCACCCTTCCCCATGTCCCCGACTCCCTCCCATCGGGTCTTTTTTACCCAACTTTTCACCGCTTCTCGCGTGACTCACTCATTCTCTGAATTTTAAATAATACATTACCCCTAAGGTTTTTCATTCGTTCTGAAAGCTTGCTTCTTCGAAAATTAAATTGCCTGCACTACAAAAACTAGGGTCGGAAATTGAGACACTTTTGTTCTTTTTTTAAAGACATTTGTGCAACAAATTCAAGTCATTTTTAGTGTCTCACACTAAGACGTTGACACATGCATTGATGTCTTATTCTTTTTTTCAGATACTAGGCTCATGTTTTGCCAGCAATGGACTATATCACATGAAAAGAGTCAATCATTTTAAACATTAGAAATTGCGGTCATGTAGCAGAATTGAAAAAAAAGTTAAGAGAACAAGGGTAAAAAATTTGATGAGTAAAAAGACTGACAAAACGTTTTTTTCCTTAGAATGACAGTCAAGTTTTTTGCGCCCTTCTGATCGTCCACCCTCATAACCCTCTCAACCTTCCCAATAAATTCCGAACTTCAATAAATTAAAAAAAATTAATGTCACCAAAAAGTCTTATGACTCCATGTCTTGATGCCGTTAATGTCTGAATAGCCTTCAGATATCTTGATCTGACAGAAAAAATATCTTAAAGTTGTTGACTTGTATTTCGAGACATCAAGAAAATGTCTTGGCTACCAGATTTCTCAGTCTTCTTTGTAGATTGAGAAATCATCATATTTTAAATCACTCCAAATTTCAGTCATCACGAGACGATGAGACATTCCCGCGTCTAACGTCTTAAACCAAGACGCCCTGAAGACCAAATTTTTTTCAGCGTGCGAAAGAATAACCAAGCGGTTTAACCGAAGCGCCTCCGTCTGGGGCTTAAAACACCGTAAGAAGGTGCAACACAAACATGAGAATGCGACAATCAACTTAAGCCTTTCGTGCTCCACAGATTTCAAGCACTTGGACAAGGTAGGTAACAGCCTCGGTGGTCTAGGCACAACCTTCTCAACTCGTGCCATTTTTGAAGGAAACAATAAAGGCAACTTTGGGCTGGAGTTGCTCTGGCCTACCCGTAGGCATGATATGAAAACATTATCAAGACTAAGCCGGTAAGTACACAGCAATGTGCTGAGCTCGGGTGAGAGTTGCGTTCTGTGTGGTACTGTCGTCACTGCCACGTCAGGACGCCAGGACTACTTCAGGGGAGGGGGGCGGGGGCTATTCACATTTGCACATATGCCTCGGAAAGCTTCTGAAGTGGAGGGCGAGGAAAAGAGAATCCGAAAATTCATGATGTGGATAGACGAGCTGTTCTGCTGTTGCGTATCTCTTGCTAGGTTTGGCAAAAGGCTTCCTTGAAACCATCTCCATGATTGAGTGACACCACAACTTCGAAGTGAAGGTGATTTCATATCAGATTAGAGCTCCACTGAAGTTGCTCATCTCCTTGCAGCGCAGAGTCGAATTGCCTCGATAGCTATCATCACCAAAAAACTCACGACGATACGAAAAGACTTGAAAGTCTTCCCCTTCTAGACCCTTCCACCAACACCCGAATCAATGCTCCTTACTTATTCACGAATTGTGATTCCGAGTTTACGATTAGACTCGGTGATTCCTGGTTATCACATCGGGACATCGAAGAGCAGGACTTCCCATCACGCGCTGAACGGGGGTATCCTACCCACTGTGGGGTTGATAGTTGACAACGATGGGAGAATGCGATAGTAGAGCATGAGTGCAGGGTGGCAAGAGTGTAGCTACTTGGAGACGAGGCCAACGGGGAACAACCATTTGGGCCAAACTACCCTTAGGTAGTACTCACGCGACCGATCTTATCAGCCTGACTATCCTAGCGATGTATATGCACAGAACCCACCACAAATGTACTTCTCACACAAATGTTCTATATCTCAGGCAAGCAGAATTGTTTTCTGGTCATCAATTATTGACAAAACCGGAATCGATACTGGCGGAGGGGGGAGGGTGTCCATATTGTGGAGTAAGGCTGCTTCAAATAGGGACAAGATTTACTCGAGTTTCAATACAGATACCCGAGTTCGGAGAGTTTAGAGACTTAACGCACGATTAGATACACTGGCCGCAAGGAGGCTGGATGGTTCACCCTCGGCCAGAATAGCTTCCCCTCTCCACCAACTTGGAAATTGAGAACTCGTGGGAAGGTCGAGCAAGGCCTCT